ATCTTCAAGGCTTATACAGAATCCAGGTGTGCTGAGCACCAGTCCAGTATATAGGCTACAATGAGACAGCACCTTTCTGTCAGAGGGTGCATCTATGAGATGTTAACATTGCAGTAGACTAATTTATGTTAGCAGGGTTGGCAAAAAACATGCTGATGTGCTAATGCGCAGTAGAATTAATTTACTGTGCATTAGCGTCACATGAGAACTGTTCGTCTGCACAGTAGCACTGATTATGGCGCACTTAGTACCTGTAATTACAAGTACTAAACTTAATGCACTGTAATTACAGTGCATTAATGAACATCGAGACCTGCCCAGACTGAATAGGGACCAGGTATACTGCCATACACAGACAGAGTTAATACTCTGTAGATCTTAGGCTGGATAAAGCCACAGGTAGCATCCTTTGACATAGATGCAAGAGAGAACTGGGCCGGAACAAATGCAAATATAAATATATTTAAGAATACATGCAGAATGATTTTCTGTTAGACTTGCTGGCTAAAGACAGACCCTCTAGAGACCCTAGTCTAGAATGACTGAGACACCACGTGTTGCCTAGTGTTACTCTCCAGGGCATCCCTAAATCCCAGCCTGGATTAAGCAGTGGAAAAGAGTGCCTTGTCATGAGCTTTAGATGGATTTAATGGGCAAGAAAATGTTAAAGGAGCTTGTTGTGACCCCCTTTTATTTCCTCTTTAAAACTGTGCTGGTGAGAAATGCAAAAGGAGATCTTGTCTAGGATGGTTTAGATGGGGATAATCCTGCCATGAGTAGAGGGTTGGACTAGAGGGCCTCTTAAGGTTTCTTCCAGCCCTACTTTTTCTATGATTCTGTGCTGTTTTGCTATAATGCTGACGACAAGTGTATAAAATCCTAAGTCTGGTGGTAATGAAACTGGTTTAAAATCTGAGGTTTAAAAGTGTTTGCTTGTTTTCTCTTTTTTTAAATAAAAGGGATTAAGCTTTGGAGCAGGCTAGGGAGGCTGTAGTGTAGAATCTCCATTCTTGTACATTTTTAGAAGAAGGTTAGATAAACATTTGATTGGGATTTTGGGATGGTCCCTTAAGAAGGGGCTTGGACTAGATAACACACTGAGATCCCTTTCAACACTTCTATTCTGTGATTCTGTTAGTCTTTCTGGTTTCTGAATCTTTAGCGTTCACATTTTTCTGCTTTTCTCTGCATCAAGGAGGGCTAGAAATTTAGGATCAGATTAACACAGTTGTTCGGTCAAGTTGTACAGGGACCAGTATTTCTGTTTCCTGATGAAATTCTGCAATTTCAAAATCAGGTTTTCTTCCAAATTAAATTGCTCAAAAAATCAGTCTGGGGGAAACAGTGTTTCGGGTCAGTCAGTAGGTTTCTTTTTGAGGAAATCAAGCCATTTCATTTTAATTCAGCCTTTTCATTTCTTCATTATGTATAATAAAGAGCATTACACACGTTGCAGGAAGGTGCCCTGTGGGATTCACAAAAGTGACTAACAGAGTAAAGTGCCTAATTCCATCATAATTCAATGTCTGTTAGGCCCGGTCCCTACTTAGACATTCAGACATCCTACTAACTGCCTATCTATACCTTTAACCACCTAAATGCCTGCATAAATCCAGGCTCCCCTGTTCTTGAAATGGAATTGAGATTTTCTCCAGGGAAGGGGCTCAGTTGAAGAAAAACACCAAATGTGGCTCAGGATAAAATTATCGGAGTGGACAGCACTGATGTAGTTAAGAAGCTTGGGTAGAAATGAGAGGGATCTCAGTAGGGAGTAATGGGAGTAATAGCTTAACAAATATCCAATATCCAGTTCATTTAATCCATCCAACTAATCATAAAGATGTAGCTGCAATCAGTTCCTACACGTGCTAACAAAACTCACCTGAACACAGCCCCACAGGCAAAGCCTTCATGCTTCCAGTTGCCTAAGGGGACAGAGCGAATGCATTGCCCCAACAAGATTAGCAATGTATATTTTTCTTCTTTACAGCCTTGGAATCTGACAGCAAGGAAAGCTTTGTGGTTTCTTTTTTAATAATATAATTACTGTTTATTTGAGTCACAATAATATATAGCAGCCCCCGTCACAGACCAGGAGGGTCCCATTATCCTAAGTTTGGTGTCAACAAAGAACAGAGTTATGCTTTTAGCACCTGTTGTCAGCATGTTTTTGCCATTGGACCATAATACTGTGCATGTCATTTATGCAGTAATGCTGGAGATTCACAATTTTTTCATTACACTTTGACAATACAGATAAACTTGTGTGTATTTTTGTGTGCACATCTGCCTTTCTCTTATTATATGGAGTATACAGGTAAATCTCTATTAGATTCCAAACTATTATGCTTGGTCTATATTCTATGTGCCTACTTCTGTTTAAATCTTTAGCTGTCTAGCTTTAGTTTTCTAGTTTTTTCTGTAGCTATAAAAGGTAAATTTGAGATATACCAATGTGATCAATCTGCATGTGTGACTCTTAAGGTACTTTCCACTCACACCAGTGCATGTGTAGTTTAACTTTATGTCTTCATGTTTACATTAGAGTCTGTGCCTGCCACTCGGGCAGCACTTTTTCCTATGCTTGTGGCTAGAGTCACTTATTTGTCCATGCCTTGGACAAACTTCATGGTAAGTTTCTAACTGCTTGTGGGTTTTACACCTGCACACACCATCTCATGACTTCAAGTACTAGGGTTTAGGAAAGCCCCCTAGCATGTTCAATAAAGTTAGAACAATGACACCATAAACTAGATCTGGGCAGGCGCTACTTTTCCTGTTCTGTGCAAATGGTCAAGGTTTCAGGAGGATGGGACTGGGACCTTTCAGAGCTTTTTCTGGAAGAAACCCTATTGGGAAGCTTGTCCTAGACCCAGCAATGAGAGCTGGTCCAAAACTGTTCAGAGGCTTGAGTGCAGGATCTCCTGTCGAGGTTAATACCCCAAGCTCAGGACTGCACCCTCTTGGGTCTTGCCCAGAAACTCTGCCTGGGACTGGACAAGACTTTTCTGAGATGACTTTCATCCAAACAGGTTCCTTCCCTTGTACACTCTGGCTTCAACTATTCATCAGTTTCTAATGAAAACACATTTGGTTGGAGAATTCCCAACCAGTTCTACTGCAACCCTTTAAAAAATCTAATTCTGTAATTAAAAGTAATAGGCCTGAGCCAATAACAAACACAGCCATGAATAAACAATGGCACAACAGGCGGATGCACCCAGATACAGTCTTTAATTTTACATGCGTGCAGAAATCAGTATGCAATATTTAAAGCTGCATCAAATCCTTAGTTGTGGATTATGAAAGATAACAGTGATTAAAAAATAATGGTGCTAAAACAAAGAGAATTCTGTACAGAAAGGGAAAGACATTAAATAAAAATGAGTGCAGATCCAAGCCAATCTCATCAGGGAATCCTGGTAGCCTGAGCACCTAATCATGAAATAACAGATTGAGCTGGAGGTAAGCGACATGCGCCTCTAATTATCAAAGGCCACAAAGGCCGGCAGGAGAGGCACTCACAAAACATCCGCCGTTGGGATGTATTGATTGAACAGGGCTTCTCTCTGTCTTTCCCCTGAAGCGTAGGAGGCTCGGGAAAGAGGGAGCTCCTTTGGTGCTTTTCAAAACCGCCCGTGCCAGTGAGGCAGAGCTCTGAGTGCCATCCTGCAGGACAGAGCTGGAGGGAGCGGTGAAGCAGAAGAATGAGTTCAACATGGCAAGTTGCTTTCCCATTTGTTTTCATGCCGATGGAGCCTCAAATGCTGGTCCAAGCCCAGCCCTATCATTAACCTGCAAAAGAGTCAAACTGGCACCTCTTCCCACAGCCCCTGATCTATAAGCACAGCTGGCAGTTTGCTCCATTTTCCTGTCATATGGTATCCTCCTCCTGATACGTTAGCATACAGGGTCCCAGCCCCACTCCTCCCACTAAGCTGAAGGGAGCTTGCCCCAAGGTAGATCTATGGCTCCCATGAAAGAGCCAGAGAGACCATATATCAGTCACCCCAGAATAGCCAGCAGTCATGAATGCTATGATCCTCACAACCCTCTGCTAGGCAGGGAGGTGCTCTTATTCCATTTGCCAATTGGAAACTGAGGACTGGGGAAGATATGTGACTTGCCTTGCATCACAGAGGAAGTCTGTGGTGGAGCAGAGAATTTCTTGAGAGTCTCTCAGGAGGCTAACTCAGGTTCCCTAACTCCCGGACTACACTTTCTGTGACTGAGCTGAACTTTGTGGTCAGATCCCACGTGCCGGCCCACTGCTCCCAGGCTAATTTTGCCGTTGGCTTCCGTGGGCCAGGGTGCGGGTGTCTCTGAGACAGAGTTCACCCGCTGCATCACCTTGCTGGAAGCAGGGGTCTGTGTTAGTCACTGAAGGACACACCCTTGGTGCAGATCTCTGTGTGCTGGATCTGGATCGGAGCAAGCTTCCTCAAGCTTTGAAGATGTTGTGTCTAGATCCAAATATTAGGACTCTGCCCGAGTGTCTCCTTTTGTCCAGAGGCAGGCTCTGGCCCCATTCGCTGCAGCCAAGGAAGATGGTCTGCAACATCTGATATTTGCCAGCAGCTCCAAGCATCGGTGCATGCCTACTGCCCAAGAGCAGGGGTGAACTGCATCTTGGGAAGGGGAAGGTGGCACAGGGTGGCACTGGCTCAAGTCTTTGTTCACAGTTCCAGCACCCAAAGTCTTCAGTTTACCATGAGTAGTGGGTCCTACTTGCCAAGCCTTTGACCTCTTGGCTGCACGTGCTCTCATCTTTCTGGTCCCCACTTTTCTAGCTGCAGCCAGTGATTATTCCTAATAAATCCTCTTCTGCTGTGATGTATTTGCCCAATGCTGGACGATGAATCATACAGACATTTCAGTCTATTGTAACTAATTGTCCATGGGATTTCTCATTAATTACATGATACACTTTGCCTTTAATGTCCCAGGAGCCACTGTGTGATGAGTAATTCTCTGCTCTGTCCCCCTTTGTTCTTTTCCAGATAGCAGCGCTGGAGAGGCAGATCTTTGACTTCCTGGGTTATCAGTGGGCGCCCATCCTGGCCAATTTTTTACACATTATGGCTGTCATCCTGGGCATCTTTGGGACCATCCAGTATAGATCCAAATACCTCATAATGGTAGGTACTGCAAGGCCAGTGCACCTTGTCAGCTAACTGATCTCCTGCATCTCCAACACAGTGCATGGTTAATACCAATACAGCAAGTAATAAAGTGGCTTTATTACCTAGAGGATCTTGGCTGGCTCCAGCCAGCAATCACAGTAGTGATGATAATTATTACTGGCCCAGATTATGTGAAGAAGAAGGTCTCTGCATCCAGTGCATGGAAAGGGAGGGTCGGGCGCGCCTGCACCATTCCTGCCCTCATCTGCCCAGGGTCCTGCTACAAGCTGTGCATGGGGTTATATAGTTTGAAGGAGGGACACAGGGCAGGGACACAGATTAACAGGCTCAGGAAGGAAGCCAGAAGTGACAGCAGGATCCTTTCTGCTGGTTCTCAGAGGCAACCTCTTATCAGTTGCTCTTTAGAGCCAAACCAGAAGGCCCCTTTGTATTTGAAAGGGTTCCTACCAGGTACTGTCTAGATTGAATGAGGAAACTCCTGGCAGGGTAAGCCTCACACTGAGAGCAAAAGTCCTTTCTAATGCGGAGCAGGCAGGAGGGGAGTGCAGATGTGTGAGCCAGCCTGGTATTTCCTTACTAATGAAAAAGGCAGCATGACTCACTAACAGGTCCCTGGGGCACCTAGAGGTCCTGGAGGCTTTTCAGTCACACAGGTGACTGCTGATGCAGCTTGCAGTGGCCCCACCAGGTTATGCCTCTATGTAGGGTCTGCAGGGTCTTCTCATGAACATACAGAGGAGGGTGAAACCTGGCCTGTCATCTGGAGGGTTTTGTGGTTTTGTTTGAAACCCACCATCCTTTTGGGACTTGAAACCAAAGAGAAAGGCAAAGGAGGGCAATAGGGGGAGTGGGTAAGAAGGAAAGAGGAAGAGGGAGGGAAGGGAAGATGAAGGGGGAATCTCTTTTCAGACTCCCTCCCTCCTGTCAAGCATCTGTGGGAGTGGGAAGCAGAAGCAGCCTGATTGAGAGGACAGAGCCGGTCACACATGGGTGAAGGGCCGAGCATGGCCTGACAGGATATTTATCCACTGGAAAATGCTGATTCAATGGAAATAGAATGTTTCATGGGGACATGTATTTTGTTAAATTTTTTGCTGAAAAAATATCAGGCTGATAAGGTCAAAGCACCTGTTTGTAATATAATATAATATAATATAATATAATATAATATAATATAATATAAATTCCAAAATGGCACAGACTTAGCCCAAATGCTTCAGGGCTCTTGAAATGGCTAATTTCCCTCCTTTGATAAGGTCATTTCAGTATTGTCAAACTGGATTTTTTGAGACATTTTGTTCTGTGGAAAATGTTGAAGTCACTGAAGGACTTGCAGAAATGTCACTACTTGCCCCAGGATGGAGCTGCAGAGCTTTAACCTGCCCTCCGAGCATGGACGGGCGTTCCCCCTAATTTCTTCCCGGGACAGTCTGGTTCTAGTGCAATTCCAGCTCAAGTCCTGGCAGGTCCAAAGCAGCTCCTTGCTACTCTGTTCCGTCCCATTCCCACCCTGCCAAATAATCCCTCCCAGGGGTTCAGGCCAACAGGGTGCAGCTCTCCGCTCACAACCGTTCCAACACATCTATTCCTCAGTCTCTTCACCCCTTGTGTATCTTGCTGGATGATCTTACCATCTCCTTCATTCCTGAAGCAGAAAGAAGGAGCTGGGGGCTACAGGATATAGGGTGGCCACCACCGGTGCATCCCCAGAATACAGAACATCCCTTTGGTAGGGTGGGGAACGCCTGGGGACCTCCTTGGCCAATCAGTACTGAAGAACGGGGCAGCCGCCTCCTTGGTCAGCAAGGGGTGGGGCCACTGGGCCTGTTGACAAATCAACAGCAAGGGGTGGGGCCACTGCAAAAAAGCCACCTCTCTAGCCAGCTAAGAACCTTGCTCCTCCTGGCTGTGCACTGCTCTACCTCTATGCACAGCCAATAGAATCGTGAGGACAAGTGACTGACATGTCTTTCCATCAATGAACTGAAAAACAGGACTTTTTGCAGTCTGTTTCTCATTCAGAAACAGACAGGGGACAAAGAGTTTAAAAGCAGGACATTTTGGTATAAAACAGGCCCAGTGGCTCCCCAAACAGGATGAGATGAGGGAAGGAGCTAGGAAAAAGAGGACTAAGACACTGGGGTTGAGGCAAGGAGGAAGAGAGTTGAGGGCTTGTTGGTCCCTGAGTGCCAGTGCTGGACTTCTGCTCTGGACAAAGGCTCCGTAGTGCATCCTGGTCCCATTCAGACAATGCAGCAGAGGCCACTGGGTGCAGGAGCGCAGGGCATAGGCAGTCCCTTGACACCAAGTTAAACAGTTCCTTTTAGAGGTGGATCCAGCTCCATCTTAAAGCCAGGGTGGTCCCTGGCCATCACTGCCCATGCTGGGAGGCTGATCCAGAACCATACTGCTCTGAGGGTGGGAAGACTTCTGCTTTCCAGCCTAAATTAATCCTGGCCAGTTCATCTCCATTTGTTCCTGTGCTAATGCCAGCATATAGCAAGCGTGTCAAACTCAGACTCTGGACCCGAGGGCTCCTTCACTGGCTAGATTTGGCATGGTGGAGCAGCAGGATCTAAGACAGGGCCAGCAGGGATGTCAGTGTCTGTAGTAGGACTGGCAGCAGTAGGGTAGGCAGCAGCAGGACCAGTGGCCTCAGGCAAATGAAGCTGTGTTGGCACAGCCCTTGCTTGCCCTGCTGCTGTTGATGGCCATGTCCACGAGGGTCAAGGGCCCTGGATTTTTTGGCAGGCCACGTTCCCCCCAACCCCCTCCCCCCAACCATACACACTTTTGGGAGCCTGGTGGGCCAGGTGATGTGGCTTCACAGGCCAGATCTGGCCTGAAAACCATCATATGCTTTATACCCCTGACTTCCATTATAGAGAGCTCTTCTCCCTCCCTTGTGTTTGCCTGATAGTCTTGCTGCATTCGTGTCCTGTTCTTTCCCTGTCCTGAACACATTTGTTATCACTTTTCTGAGGGCTTGTCAGCACAGAGCCTTCATACTGATGTCGTTGCTTCCAGTGATAACCTCTAGTGTAGACACACTGCAACCAGGTATTAAGACTTATCCTGGAGGATTTTACATCACATTGTACCCAGCTACCCCCATGCAAACCCCTTTTTAATCCTGGTGCAACACAAAAGATTTGTCCCAGGGTGGTTTAATTTAGTAAATGCTTTAAAATATTGCTGGTCACAGGTGTGTATGTTTTTTCCCCCATCACTATACCAGCAACAGCCCGAGGTTAGACACACGTTAACCTACCTGTAGGATTTACCTCACTTTGGGGAATCGGCATAAAGCACAGCTCACATCCAGCTTCTGCGGGTTTATACTGGGTGCGTGCTGCAAGGTTTGCCTGCACAGCTCCATGGAGATCTATGCCAGCAAAGCTTTTCAAATGTAGACAAGTCTGCAGTGTAAATAATCCCAGTGCAGACAGGCCCTGACTCTTGCTAAATGATGCTGCAATTCCCAGCCCATTATCTGGGAAATGTGATCAAGTGACTGTAGCAGGGGCCAAACGTCAGCTAATTAATCCTATCAAACTCTCCCCCCTCCATGCCCCAGGGAAAAGTTAAATTAACATCATTATCCTCATTTTATATTGTCAATGACTACACAGAGTGCAAGGGCCTGGGAGTTGGACACTGGGATTTTGAGTAAAGGTCTGTCATGGACTTGATGCACGATCCTGGACAAGTCACAGTGTCCCTTCTTACCTCCCTTCCCCTCCTGTGCAAATGGGGAGCCATTTCTGAGGTAATGTACAGGGCAGCCCCTCAGACGAAAGGGCCTGGAGATTTGCCATTTATTTCTATAGACCAAATTCTGTCCCTACCTGCATGGAACAATTGCTGAAAGAGGGTTTCCTCTGGGAAACTATTGCAATAGGCATTTAGCTCTTTAGATCCCACAGGGCAACACAAAGTGTGTAAGCCTCACAATCCCCACTTTACAGACAGAGAAACTGAGGCACAAGGTGGTTAGGCAGCTTGGCCAGAGTGACAAAGCAAGCCCACAGCAAAACCAGAACCAGAGCCAGAGCAGAGATTCCCTAATCTCAGTCCAGGTCACTGGGCCTCTGCTGGGGCTGTGAATGACACATTCATGGATGATGCTGTGTGACCAGGAGGTTTGGAGAAGATAAAATTAGCACACCACATCCATTATCTCAGTCTGTGTAGAAGAGTTTTGCAGAAGCCTCTTGTGTCGCCCCTCCTACTCTGCTCTGCACCAAACCATGGAAATGCCTGCACAGGAGCAAAGCTTGCAAAGCTGGGATTCAGAAGCAATGATTTAACTACTGAAACCATTTTTCTGATGTAGGGGCTTTCTGCTTTAACTGCTCTTGGCACCATCCTTGGCAGGGAGGGACATGGTATAGGGCAGTCTGCTCTCTGTGGGCCTGAATAACAGAATGAGATTCAGGTCAGGATTTCCTTAAAGCAGCGATTCTCATTCAGGGTGCTACTGCACCCTGGAGTGTTGCAAGAGCCCTTTATGGGTACCATAGGGGTGCTGCACAATACCAGCACTGTTGGGTGTGCAAAGACCTATACATGATTCACAAGATAGACCCAGAGTTTTCAAATAGAAACCCATAATGTCACAACCATTTGGATCTATTGTGATCTTTTTGAGTTCTTTACAACAGAAGAATTGTTTTTTATTTTTCCATAGTTAAAAAAAAAAGAGTGAATACTAGAGCCAGCATTTTCTGAGTAGGCCTTGAGTTTAAAAAGGTTGAGAACCACTGTCCTAAACTGTGGGAGTGTTTAAATCAGGTAAGGTTGGGGAAATGGTAAAGGAGAAAGTAATTTCTGAGCCCTCCTCTGAATAGTTCATTGCTATGAGGCAAGTAGCTTGACTAGTGGCCTGACCACAGGTCAGGGAGCCAGGGAATTTCACATCTGATGAGGATTCATTAAGAGTCTTCAGGGAAGTCACTTTCTCACTGCATGCCTCAGTTTATCTGTCTGTAGCACAAGGATAATAATACCTGTCTCCTGGGGAATGTGTGTAGAATGATGGGACTAATTAGCTGATCTGGAGAAGGTGCTGCATATATGCATTAAATTATACACTTTAATTTCCTGAGATCCAAGTACTGTAGGGGGGCTACAGGTTACAGATCCTGGCCACAATTACTCTTTCCCAGATGCTAGTGTAAAACACCACTGAAGTATGGAGTGAACCCAGTAATTAAAGAAGGCAGAATTGGGTCCATTATTAATAAATGGGGCATTTGTTGGGTAAGCGCAGGCAGGTGGGTGCTTGTGTGCTAAGCCCTGTCCCCTGGGCACAAACACACTGCCTCTTTCTGTCCACCACAAGGGTATGGAACCTGATTCAAAGCTCACCGACATCAAGGAAAAGCCTCCCCATGGCTTCAGTGAGGTTTGGATCAGGTCTATGCTACAGGCAAAACGCAGAGTCCAGAGATAACCCAAGGCTGCTGGGTCTCTCTAAAATCTCTGCTTTGCCAGCTGTTTCTTTTGACTGATGCTAATTACTAATGCCTCTCCCCACCCTGTTCTTTGCTTCTGAGCTTTTGCCTCTCTCTCTCCCCCCAGTATGCGGTGTGGCTGGTGCTGTGGGTTGGATGGAACGCATTCATCATCTGCTTTTACCTGGAAGTTGGACACCTGTCACAGGTAATTACCTCTGTAATGGCATTGAGTGCAGATCCTTCCTGGAGCCATTGATCAGCCTGGCATCCCCGCCTGCTGGGCTTCACATTCTTCATGTAACTGATGCTGTTCCTCACCCCAATGGAAGTTACTGTTGGGGGAGTCTCTATCCTGAGCTTCACAGAGTATCCCTGCAGCTGCTTGATGGCTGGCCCCCTCTCCTGTCTTCCATTCTTTCTTACTGAATGATCACAGTCCAGAAATCATGGGCCAAAGGCCCCAGCTCAAAGGAGTATATGCCTGGGTACATAGGTGACTGGTAGAGGCTGCACAGGGGTGCACGTGCCTCCCCTGATGGGGCTGGTGTCCCCCCTGATGGCCGACACTGATGCTGTCGGCAGGGCTGGTGCCCCCCCGACAGGGCCACTGCCGTTAGTAGCCACCCAGATTCAGGAGGTACCAGTTGCTCATGCCTGGGTAGTTGCTTTGCTGGTTTTGCTGTGTAATGGAACAGGGCCTGGGCGGTTCATGTAGAAGACAAGGGCAGGGTTCTCGTGCTGGAGTCTGGAGCTGAGGAGCCTGGGTCAGGAGTCAGGAGCTGATCAGTCAGAAAGGCAAGCCAGAAACCAGAGTTGTGCAAGGAGTAGCAAGCGAGAAGCTGGGTGCAACAGTCTTTTCTCAGACAACATGGTCCTGTTGGTTCTGGGCTGTGAGGTTTGGCCATGGCCTCCCTCCTGTACCACTGGGGGGTGACTTTGCCAAATCCTTAACTACTTCCAGCTGGGGCTGAATTCTCCCCTGCTGGACCCAGGTTCATTACAGTCTAGTGGACTGAGTACTGAACTGGGGCTCAGGAGACATGGTTTAAGTTCCTCACTCCACCCCAGACTTGCTCTGTTTTGAGCAAGTCACTCAGTTTATCCTGTGCTTTCATTCCCCACTGATCAAGCAGCAGTCTCCCTGCCTCATCGGGCAATGAGAAGATGAAGCTCTGTGTGTAGTGGCAAGACACTGAGATCCTTTGGTGTAACCTGGGCAGTACTCCAAGAGGTACCCCCTCTCCAACTGAAGGCATCAAAGCAGGTGCACAAGCGCTGTGGGAGGTGTAGGGACTCTCCTCCCCCTATAGAGCACAGCCAGACCACCAATGGGGATTTAACCATATACCTTTTAATACTGGGAACATAACAGGCAAAAATCAGAGGGTATAGTGGACACTACAATGCCCCAAGGGGGCAGGATCCAATAAAGGTTAGATACTTACAATCATTGACAAAAAAACAGGGTTAACAAAATATAAAATACAAACAGCAGAACAAACAATGCAGGTTGGTGAAATATAAAAAAAGGCACAAAATGCAAAATGTGAAATAACAAGGAAATATAGGGCCTTGGTACCTGGAGGGGGAGAAAGGGGAGAAAATACAAAGGCCCCTTTCCACTGCAAGGAAATTTGCTCCTTGTTAGCTCGCTCACCCCAAGTCACCTCAGCTGTGACTTAAACCCAAATCTCCCATGTGGTAGGTAGGAACACTATCACACAACCACCACTAGGGCCACTGCTCCAGCCTACTAGGGGTCTTGACCTTCCCAGAGCTCCAGCCTCATGTTGAGCTGCCTGGCCTCTGATTGGAGGAGCTGGAAGCAGAGCTGGGAACCTCTCAGGTCGCTGGTCAGATCCTCCCTGAAGCTAGGGAGCGTCTCCTGCTGGCTGCAGCCTCTCCTCGGGGATCCTGGAGCCCAGGGCGGGGCCTCTCCTGCCGGCTGCACGCCACGCTGCTGAGGGTCCCACTGCAGCCTGCAGGTCCTGCTCTTTCAGGCTCTTCTGGGGCACTGCTCCTACCCCACTGGCTCAGCTCTTGCCAGCTCTGTGAAGCTCCTCACCTTCCTTGTTGTCCCTCACTGGCCTTTCCTGAGTCAGCCCATGCTGCCTCTTTTATCCCCCTCCAGGTGACCCAAGGGGCCAATCAGGGGACACGGGGGGTGAGTCTCCGGGGCCTGATTGGTGCAGAAAGGGAATCCTAAGTCCTCCAATCATCTTTTGCCCTTTCAAAACCCCTGGGCCAGGTCACTGCCAGCCAGCCCGTCACACTGGTAATGAGGATCCTATCAGGACATACCTTCACTTCATTTATCACCTGTACCAGCATGTAGGCTCCTCACACATGGCTCTACCAGTGTGACCTTCAACGTCCCCCACTACTCCTGCCCTGAGCTGCAGCCAGTCACAACTGTTCTGATGGAACAGATTTCCCCTGAAAAATGCAGATTTGGTGAAATTGAAATGTTTTACAGGAACATATCGATCTTGTCAACATTTTTCTGGGAAATCATCAAAACACTTCATTTCAATAAGGTCAAAGTGTTTCATTCCATTGATCATTTTGACTGTTATGTTGTATTAGAATTTATAGTCTGAAAAATCCAAACATTCAAATGCAGATGAAATGTTCTGATCAGGCTGACATGAAATATTTTGGGATCCCTTCAATTTGTGAAAAAGTTCAAAGATTAGCATTTTGTCCCAGTTTGGCATGAAACCACATTCTGAAATCTCAGTGTTCCCATGGGTAGAAATGCCATGTATCACTCAGCTCCATGCAGGATCTCTGCAGCTGAGACTGGTGGCCTTTTAGGAAGGCAGACAGCTGTCCTAGAGGGGAGTATGTCTGGTCTCACAGCTTTGTTTCTGCTAACACACACCGCATGCTTATTTCACATTTCTCTTACCCAAAATAATATAGGTTCATGCTCTTTCTGAATAAATGGGATTTAGAGCCTGACTTTTCTGCTTCTTGGGCAAGTGCCCTAGCCTTTCCTCATAGCACAAGCCTGGTGAGGAGCAATGCCTGTGAGGACTAGCTTCTTCCAACCCATCTTTCCTCAGTGGGTTTGGAGGGAGCTAGTCTTTTCTTACATCACTTTAGACATTGCTTACTTTCTCTGCACATTTTGGGTATGATAGCTTCTCTGCATCATGTTCTGGATATTGCAACAGTGGGTTTTACCCCTGTATTGGGGAGGGACCACAGGGCAGAGCCACAGGGCTAGGTCCCTTTAAGTTGAGGTCTTTTGAAGTCAGAAGGGGTGAAGAGATGCAGCTGGGGACAAGCTTCAGACCCACCCTTGCTGGAGACTGTGGGCTGGTAGAGGACCTCCTGTGCTGACCAGAAAGGGGGAAGGGTCTGGAGGCATACAAGTTGGTCCCTGGCCACCAGTGGGGAGAGAGGAAAGGCCTGGCACTGGAATAAGGATTGACCACCCTCATAAGGCAGAGGGGAGACAACCCAGAAGCAGCCAGGAGTGCCTGGGGCACACGGGGAATGGATCTGAAGAGGTGTGGGTCACAGTAGCAGTGGTTTTTTTTTCCATTGTTACATCTGTGGGCCCAAATGGGGTGAAATGTTATGTTTATTGGCCCAGAGTGGCAGGACAGTTCGTTAAAAATCTCTGTTGATAACAACCAGTACAACAGGTGTGGCTACAAGGGGTGATGGGGAGGCCATAGCAGGGTACTAAGACACTGCAGTAATTGACCCTCAGCAGGTTATGAGTATCTGCTTCAAGGCCTGGGACTTGCCAAGGCAGCAGAGGCCAAGAGCCCACAGACCTGGCCCAGTGGTTGATTCATTGGCCAACAGAGCCCCAGGTTCTGGCTTTGAGACCCAAAAGAGACAAACTTAGGACTGTTGGCCAGGGCAAGGAGGGACCATGCAAAATGTTGGATGGAAAACCCTGGGGTGGTCATCCACCAGTTGCACCCTGTACCAGTATGATAATGTCCCTTCACAGTGTTTTAGGTCTGGGGGTCTTGCCTCACAGTGGAGTGATATCTTCTCATGGTGTATGGACTGATTCGTGGTATGATGGGTGCAACAATTATCTGCTCAATTATTTGTATGCTGCATTTTTCTGATAACCGTTTCTTCTCACAGCTGTTTCCTCACAGTGATCCCCTCCCCTGTTCTGTGAGCTTTTCTCTTTGCAAGTCCTATGCTGTGATTTTTTTCCCCCAACCCTCACCATATTTCAACCTACACAATGTTGCCTTTTTCTAGTTGTTTTCACCTCGGACTGAGGTGACATGGGTGCTCTTGCTGAAGGTGGCACGAGAGGCTGGAATGCATTGTGCACTGACAGCTCTTTTGGTAACACCTGGAGTACCCCAGGATGAGACGATGCCCAGCATATTCCAAAAAGATTCATTTCTGGAGTGAGGGCACAAATGAAGCTCTGGCCCCTGACACGTCAGCACGTGGAGAGGGATCCCCAAGGTTCCCTGATTACATATGGGGAGGGGAAGTGTACCATGTTGATGGGGCATGATGGAGCCAGTACCTGTGGCTGCCTCTAGGAAAGCATGCAGGAGAGGGTTGGGAATAGCTGCCTGTTGTACACCTTCCTGAGCTACTGTTGCTTCTTTATCTCTTCAGAACAATGGCAGCTCCCCTTTCCCCGGCCTTCCTTGAAAGGCAGCGGGTGACACCTTCCTTAAATCTAAAGGGATGTGCGCATTTAGCGGTGATGGCAAAATCACCCTCTGAAACACCAGCTCCATTTACCCACCAGACAGAGATGGATGGCCCTGCCGGCTTTCCATTTTGTTACTTAGATCCATCACCCTCCCAGGAGGGGCGGGGAGCACTCGAGGAGGTGAGGGCAAAGGGGTGGGCGGATAGGAAGTGAACGAGACTGTGAGGCCTGGCCGCAGATTCAAATGAGGAGCATAGGAGTGTTAAATTAATGAGACTGATTAATTGGGAATTTCAGGGCACTCGTTAATCACCCACACACACTCAGCACTGCCTCGGTTTATGGATTGCATAAATTAGACGACACAATTTCATAACCCACGTTCAAGGAGATAAAGCTGCAGCCCTCATGGCTGCTGTCTGCAAGAACATGCCTGCAGCTGTGGTTGGATCAATCCTTGTCACTGCCCAGAAACTTCCTCTAGGCACTTAGCAGTGGGGGAGCCACCCTGGAAGGCTCAGCTCCCTGTCACTCAGCAGAGCAGCTCTCTG